ATGTTTGGGGTAAAGCACTCAAGCTTGGTATGGAAATGTGAAACTAATACCATACTCATGGAGAAAAATGAGAGTTATTGGAAAAGGTGGTGTGGTAACTCCCATGCAAATTGGTTTTTCTATGCTGCATATCTCTGGAGGTGTTTATTGCAGAGGACTGGAACTTGGCACCGAGATGTGTATACAAAATTAATTCCATACTCAAGGAGAAAAATTTGTGTTATTCGAAAAGGGGGCATGGTTCCTGCCGTACAAATTTACTGTTTTATACTGCTTATCTCTAGAGGTGTTCATGGTATAGTACTGGGACTCGGTACTGGGGTATGTAAAATCAATTCTAAATTCATGGAAGAAGATTAGGGTTATAAGAAAAAGGGGCGTGGCACTTCGAGTACAAATTTACTTTTTCTTGCCACATATCCCTGGAAGTGTTTGTGGAAGACAGAATAAATTTCATTAAATGGAAAAGGGAGAGCCGGGTGCGACCTTATAATCTAAAGCTCTCTTGAGGCATTTGCTACAGTAATGAGAAGTGGTATTTCATCAAGGCCAGCTTACTAAATTTGAGTTGGAAATATTAGAACTCGCCGTGGCACCTCCAAGAAGGTTTCACGTTCACGCGTCGTATACCTGGAAACCTTTTAAGGTAAACTTAGAGGGAGGAGAGAGGAGATTTTATAATTTCATAGTTTTAAACGGCCTAAATACCTTAATTCGCTTAGAAAATAACGAGCTATAACGAAATGGGCACAGAAATAAAATCTAACATCATTAAATTATTTTTCCTATTTGTATAAAAGCGCGGGGTGAAACCCGCGGGTATAAGCTAGTATGTATATAATTCTTCTGTAGGTATGTTTGTGAGTGAAATCCTAAATGGCTGGAGGGATTTCAGAAAAGTTGTGTGTGTGTGTTTGAATGAGTCTCTGGATAGTTTAGTTTCACAATTTAACCCGCCAGTTGGCGCTGGAGTTGAGTTATTACTAAAAATCTTTTTTTTATGATCCGAGTTGACGAATATTCAAAACATGTATTGGAAACGGTAAAGGAAGTCCAATTGCAAAAAAGAGTTATTACTAAAAATCGACAAGTGAGAAAGGTGCCGTGAATGTCAGACTAAATCGACCTGCTGCACCATTGAGTATATCGAACTCTCGTGTATTTAGGGATGCAAACGATGCATCGTTATTTTTGAAACATCGATAATATCGATTCGAAATTCGATGTTTGCCTTCGATGTTTACAATTTCCTAAAATCGATAAATAGACGATATATCGATGCAAGTTTCACCGATGTTTTAACATCGAATTATGCTCCTAACATTTTTTGACTGGCCATGAATTTTAATATTTATTCTTTTAAAAGGAATATTCAGAAATGCTGAGTTTATTCTTATCTGTCGATATTAAAAATGCATACTTAGTCATTAAAAAAGGACCGGGATCCCGTTGAAATTTCAACGAAATTGGGCCTTGGAACTTTAGGCTCAGCGAACTTACGACGGCATGCATTTCTATTCTCGATTAACCATCGATATATCGATGTTTTTCTGGCGATGTATTTTAGCATCGATGTTCATTTTTCCGATGCATCGAAACATCGATGTTACTCCCCAAAATTTCAATCCCGAGGTAAATTACGATTGGTCTAATGGATGTGATTTGCCAATATTATTATGCGTTAAAGCTTCATTCGAACATACCATGATTTGTGCAGTGGTAAATCTCAAACCACTACCTGTCGAAATACCTTAAAAGCCAGTTTAATAAAAGCAATTTAATGAAGATTTATTTTTTTAATTGAATTTAATATAGAACCTGACAGAAAAAAATAATTTTTCACTTAAATTGCTTTCGTGAAACTGGCTTTTAAGGTATTTCATCTCAGTCTATGTATGTATATTGTATTTCTGTTGAACAAGGATACGCATCCATTTTGAAATTGCCACCAACTATAAGATAAAGTTTCTAGGGCAAATTCACTATAGATCCGGATCATTGTTGCCGCCGGGAACCTTCTTCATGGACATAACACTTTCGGAAATCGTGGACTGCTGGAGAAAATGTTGGACCAAAAAGATTAAATTAAAAATCTAATTATGGGCGGGACGAAGTTCGCCGGGTCGGCTAGTTTTAAATAAAGAATATAGATTTTTTTAATTTTTAAATTTTATAATTTAGCTTTAAAATTACAAAAAAATTTTGTTGAATTAATTTTTTTTATTTATTAATATATTAAATTATTTCATAGCTGTAAGTATATATAGTGTGAAATAATACAAAAATTGTAATCGAAATTAGAGTTATAATAAATTAGAGTTCAAAATTACTGTCAAGTGTAAATAAATGCTGTCACTCACATGAACACGAGCATGCGCACTCGGATGCATTCAACGGTCAAGTAGCGTGCAACTGCTATGTTGTGTCCTGTCTATCACACAGACCTCGGACGCCCTACTTTCTCTCTCGCACCTATCAAATTCAAGAACTTTATAGCTTGGCAATAATATTTTATGTACGATTTTTTGCAGGCAAGCCTACATGATTGGTTTTGTAATAAAAATATCTTACCTATGATATCAATTTCGATTGGTTAACAGATCGATGTAGTTACCTATATTGACTTACCTGTTCACATCTACTTGCCACGTAGCCATGCACAGAAATAAGTAATCAAGCCTACCTAGGCATATTCTGTGCGTTAAAAACTATCAATTGAGATAAAGCTCATTCGGTTATCACTAGAGTGAAGGTGGTGAAAGAAAAATGATTAAAATTAATTAAATTAAAAATAGCTATGACCACTTTTCGATAGGCAATAATAGGCATATTTGTTTATAAACTATATTTGATAAAAAATATGTCTCACCGAGTTATCAGATCAGTGAAGGTCGATCTCCCACGGTCTCCTCTACTATAATCATAAAAGCTTCGTGAATCGAAGCGCCCAACATTGTAAGGCGCTTGCAGTCTTGAAATCATCATTTGTTTCTATTTTGTGTTGGAAATAAAATTTATTTTGTGTTGGAAATAAAATTTATTTGTCAATTCAATAGAAAACAAGTAATTTTTAGCAAAAACAAAACCGACTTCAACTCCAATACAAATATATATATATATATATATATCTCATGATCCACTGATCGGATCTCAACCAGATTAGTATGGGACCACCTTCCGGTGCAAAAAGAATTATCAAAATCGGTTGACGTGGTCCAAAGTTATGCGGTAACAAATATAAAAAAATAAATAAATATTCCGATGAACTGATAACCTCCTCCTTTTTTGGAAGTCGGTTAATAATTGAAAATGAATGATTTCGTGCTAAAATTCGTGCAAATTGTATTAAACCACAAGCGTTTATGCAATATTTCGGAGCAGAAATATTTGCGGAAGTGCGTAGTTGCGAAAGAACGGTCAGAAAATTTGTTATGTGTAGAAAGTGCTTATTAGCTGGTGACATATGCACGGCGTTTAAGTGTACAGAAGTCGAGTCGTCATGCATTACTCTACTTTGATTAGGCTCGTAATGTGCCGAGTGCCTTATAGTTGCTAAAAATTCCAATAACAAAAAAAAAGTTTTTTGCCGACTGTATTGTTAATTTTCTTAGATAAAAAAATTCATGTAATGTTAAGAGATGTAAAGAAGAGAGAAGTTTCGCTAAAACCGACATCGATAGTTTTCAAAAACTATCGATAGTGGCGACAGTTTTCAAATATCGATACTATCGATAGTATCCCAGCTCTACTGGTGATGACGCTGTTAAGGTGATATCTCTCTATAAAAAGAGGACTCTGTCGTTAAAGAAGCAGCTAGATGACATTAACCAGCAGTTGTCTCCGGACTCTCTAAGAAACTTGGATGAGGTGGACATTGCTATGTATTTGGAATTGGTTGAGCGCTTCGCACGAGTTTTGACGACGCTCAATCCTGCCTTGAAGCTGAGGATCATAGCGAATTGGCCAGTGAAGTCAGTTGGTCGTTCGCTAGGTTACACATGAAGGTTAAAGGCACTCTCACACGTGAACTTAATCAGCGCAGGGCCGACGTTGCGCACTCATCAACAGCTCGTCCATTCGAAATCGATGATGCATCTCCATCGTTTATTATTTCTCAACGCAACCGGCTTCCTGAATTGCAAATTCCACACTTCAGTGGTGCATATACAGAATGGCCAGACTTCATCGCAATGTTTAACTCGGTTATTAAGAGCTGCGCTGAGTTAAGTAAAATTGAAAGGTTTCAACATTTGCGGGCAAATTTAAGAGGCGCTGCCTTGGATACAGTTCGTTCCTTGGAGCCAAGCGATACCAACTACGACAAGGCATTGGACCTCTTGAAGAAACGGTTTGGCAACCGGCTACTCAACTTTCAAGCGCATATAAAAGAAATGTTTGCGCTCAAAAAGGTGGGGAGCGGCTGCGCTTCTGGCTTCTGGCTCTTTACAAACGATGGCAATGGGGGAGCATATTTCTGATGAATTTCTCATATACCTGATCTCTCAAAAGCTCGATACAAAATCGCAAATCAAATGGGAAGAAGATCTACCAATAAATTCACTTCCAACTTGGACATCTACGGCAACGTTCCTGGAGAAGAGGTGTCGCATGCTAGAAAACGTGGAGGCCACAGTACCAGCAGCAAGCAGCACTTCCGTGGGAGGCAAACGTTCACCTCGCGGTAACAGCAGTTCTCGAAAGGCACTTGTAACATCTTCAAGCTTATGTTCGTTTTATGGTTCCACTAGTCACTGGATTTATGGTTGTTCTCAATTCAGAGACTTATCACCTGCTTCGCGTTATAAGGAAGCCAAGCGCCTACAGCTGTGTCTCAACTGTCTTCACCAAGGCCACACATTAAACAAATGCAAATCAGGACATTGTCGGCAATGTACATCCAACCATCATTCATTGCTACACATGTATAAAGGTGAGCAACCTACATCGTTTCGTTCGGCCGACAACACAGACGCTGGAATGGCACCAACGTCTTCGATGAGAGTGCAGCAAGTAGCCACAGCTGCATCCTCAGAAAGCTTCGTCTTGCTGGCAACAGCCATTATACATATCAAAAATCGTACAGGGTGTTACGTTCCCTGTCGCGCACTGCTCGACTCCGCCTCTCAGGTAAACTTTGTTACATGGCGCCTGGTAAAACAATTAAAATTAGAAACGAAAAAGATAAGCACTTCCATATCTAGTATTGGTGAATCCAATTTCGTCGCTGACAGGGCAGTTGACATTTTCGTAAGGGCACGTAGTGATGACTACACTTTCTCCTTTGAAGCTATCGTCGCCAACACCATCACCGAACACCAGCCGAACTTCGACCTAAACATCGATTCGTGGAACATTCCGCCGAATACCAAACTCGCAGATCCGCTTTTCTATAAATCGCATTGATGTCTTGCTGGGAGCATCAATATTCTTCGAGTTAATGTGCGTTGGCCAAATTATGTTAGCCAAGACCCTTCCAATCTTACAGAAGACCAGATTAGGATGGGTCGCTTCTGGTGGAGGAATACATTTCCACAAATCATCGGCTTTAGTTGCAATTCGTTTTCAGTCAGAAGAAGAGGAAGCTAGCCTCGATGACCTTGTCAAGCAATTCTGGGTAGTCGAGAGCTGCTCAGTTCTGCCCACTCAATCGCAGGAAGAAATTAATTGCGAACTCCACTTTCAACAAAATTATATTCGGCTTGATTCTGGTGAGTATGCTGTACGACTACCGTTAAATCAAAACTCTACTAATCTTGGCGATTCATATACACAAGCCAAGCAACGGTTTTTAAGTTTAGAAAGAAAGCTGCAGCAGAAGCCCGGAATTAAAACTCAGTACTCATCATTCATGGATGGATATGCTGAGCTAAAACACATGTCACCTGCAAGGTTGGAACCACAAATGAAAAATTTCTTTCTACCGCATCATTGCGTTCATAAGGCTGACAGCACAACCACGAAATTGCGAGTCGTACTCGATGGCTCCGCAAAATCAACCAGTGGATATTCGTTAAATGATGTCCTCATGGTTGGTCCATTCAGCCTAAACTCTTCAACACACTTTTGCGTTTTCGTATGTTCAAGGTAGCCTTAACGGGAGATGTCTGCAAGATGTACCGCTGCGTCCGCATTTTGCATCCGGATAATTACTTGCAATGCATCCTATGGCGAGGCGACCCCAAAGCGGAATTTAAGGCATACACACACGACACGAGACGAAGAAACAAACTTCCCGCTTGGAGCACAGATCCTTCGCCGAGATTTTTACGTCGACGACCTCATCACTGGTGCAGACACCCTGGAACAAGTGATTGAAATTCGTCGCCAAACAACACAGCTACTTCGCAGGGGAAATTACATTCTTCGAAAGTGGTGCTCAAACATTTCTGCATCTCTCAATGGAGTGGCTGAATTTGACCGTGAGCCGCTGCTACAGTTCCGCGATGGTACGCACATTACATAGGCGCTTGGACTAGTATAGGAACCAAAATGAGATGACTTCATTTTTTCACTTCCACCTATAAGAAATCACATACAGGTAACTAAAAGCGTCACATTATCAACAATAGCTCGGTTTTACGACCCACTAGGACTCATACCTCCAGTTCTAACTCAAGCAAAAATATTCATACAAAGCATGTGGAAAGAACGATTTCACTGGGACGAAAGTTTGCCACAGCATTTGCACAAGAGTTGGACCGATTTCTGCGATGAACTTGAATTAGTATCCAATTTTCATTTCCCACGATATGTACTAATGCCAAATTCTCACTTAGAACTTCACGCATTTTGTGATGCTAGCCTAGCTGCGTACGGTGCATGTGTATATGTTCCAGCGCCATACATCTATGAAGTCAGAACCAGCATATTATGTTCGAAATCAAGAGTAGCGCCATTATAGACTCTCACCATACCAAAGCTCGAGTTATGCGCAGCCTTGCTACTCGCTGAGTTATTGGACTCGGTCAGGCAGACACAAATATTTGATTGCAGCATACACTGTTGGTCGGACTCAACCGTCGTGTTATCGTGGCTACGGGAGGAGTCTTCAAACTTCAATATCTTCGTTTCAAACAGGGTCAGCCATATACAGACGCTAGCTAAGGTGCTATGGCACCACATTCCAACTGCGCTCAACCCAGCTGACATCTTGTCACGGGGAGCATCCCTAAGTGAGATTTTCAATTCGCAACTTGGATGCACGGTCCATCCTTCTTACTTGGAGATCAGAATGATTGGCCACCAGCACCTGATTTTCTCATCGACATGCCAGAACGGCGGCGCACTACTCTAGGCGCAACAATCCACCTTGAAGATATTTCACTGCGCTGTAAGTATCTAAATTAATTCAGCGCCATGCAACGAGTTTTTGCATACGTTTCAAGGTTCATGGTAAGAAAAGGTCCCACAACACCGAAGACGTATGGCGCGCTTACACCTGAAGACATCAAACTTGGAACACCACTTTTATTACGCCTGATCCAGCAGATTCACTTCGCTCCCGAGTACAAAGCTTTAAGGGCCAAAAGAAGAATTGAATCATTCAGCGCAGTATACTCATTCAATCCGTTTCTTGATGATTTCGAGCTAATAAGGGTTGGTGGTCGCCTTGAAAAAAGCTTAACAGCCTCAATTCGATTACAATTTTGGCCGATTGGTAGGCGAAAGACCGTAGCCGATGTAATCAACAAATGCTTAAGGTGCTTTCGGATGAAGCCAAAGGTTATGGAACACATTATGGGTGATTTGCCAAACACAGAGTGCAACCATGCAAGCCATTCTTTATAACCGGCGTTGATTTTTGTGGTCCTTTTTTCTATAAGTCCGAGGTACGCAACAAGGGTCCAGTAAAGTGCTATATTTGCATCTTTATTTGTTTTGCTACAAAGGCAACGCATTTGGAGTTGGTGTATGATTTATCTACCGCTTCGTTTTTGGCAGCTCTCAAGCGATTTATTTCAACGCGTGGGAGACCAAAAACAATCTGGTCAGATAATGCTACAAATTTTGTTGGAGCGCGGAATGAATTAACAGAGTTAAAAAATCTTTTCTTGTCCACGTCCACTTCTATCGCGTTGTTGGTCTCTCTGTACTTACATTCGAAGAGCTGCGTACTCTTGTATGCAAGGTATGTGCTATAATCAACTCTCGACCCCTTTATGCAATTTCAGAGAATCCTGATGACTTGGAGGTTTTAACGCCGGCTCACTTCTTGATCGGAGCGCCATTTACCAGCTTTCCAGAGCCAAACGTTACAGATATTGGGACCAGTCGATTAGATCGTTGGCGGCGTTTGTCTTTCATGCAGCAGATGTTTTGGAAGAAATGGAGCACGAATTACCTAACTATACTACACGAAAGAAACAAGTGAAAGGCAAAGGTCCCGAACATTCGAGAAGGAGCAATGGTTTTGTTAAAGGACGAAAACCTTCCACCATTAAAATGGCAATTTGGTCGTGTAGTAGAGATTATTCTTGGCAGAGAAAAGGTGGCCAGAGTGGCTTTTATCCGGACAGAAAATGGCTTAATACAACGAGCCATTAATAAAATTGAACTTCTGCCTATGGTAAATGTTGAAGGCCAGAGTCCTTCAACGGGGGAGGATATTAAGGGTTAAGCATTGCTGACCATTTAAAGGTTAATGGTGTCTGCGCGATCGACTCTTTCCTCATTTATCTTCGCACCTCATTCGCCGTAGTCAACTCCAGCTAACCTATTGTTTTGTTAAGTACTTATTTTGTATATCCACTTCTATATGTACATAAAGATCACATGCATAATTATGTGGGCATATGTATGTAACTACATGTATGTATCTTACTAATATTATAAATGTGAAAGTTTGTATGTTTGGATGTTTGGGAAATCATCACGCGGAAACGACTGAACGGATTTGCATGAAATTTTGTACGCGGATAGCTGATGGCCCAGATTGGTTAATATACTATTTTTTTTTTAAGAGTTGCCACCTGTTAAAAAGTTTAATTTATTTAATATGCGGGAACGACTGAATGGATTTGTATGAAAATTTGCACAAAGATAGCTTATGGCCTAGATTGGAAAATAGGCTACTTTTTTTTTTAAGAGTTTTTAAGAGTAAAAAAGTTTCATTAAATTAATACGCGGAAACGACTGAATGGATTTGCATGAAATTTTGCAAGCAGATAGCATATGACCTACAGTGGAAAATAGGCTAATTTTTTGGAAGAGTTGCCACCTGTTAAAAAAGTTTAATTAAATTAATACGTGGAAACGACTAAACGGATTTGCATGAAATTTGGCACACAGATAGCTTATGATCTAGGTTAGAAAGTAGGCTACTTTTTTTAAGAGTTTCCACCTGTTAGAAATGTTTAATTTAATTAATACGCGGAAATGAGTGAACTGATTTGCATGGAAGTTTTCACACAGATAGCTTATGAGCTACGTTGAAAAATAGGCCACTTTTTTAAGAGTTACCACCTGCTAGAAAAGTTTAATTAAATTAATACGCGGAAAAGTCTGAACGGATTTGCATGAAATTTTGCAAGCAGATAGCTTATGACCTACAGTGGAAAATAGGCTAATTTTTTGGAAGAGTTGCCACCTGTTAAAAAAGTTTTAATTAAATTAATACGCGGAAACGACTGAATAGATTTGCATGACATTTCGCACAGAGATAGCTTATGACCTATGTTGGAAAGTAGGCTACTATTTTAAGAGTTATCACGTATTAGGAAAGTTTAATTAAATTAATACGCGTAAATGACTGAACTGATTTGCATGAAAGTTTGTACACAGATAACTTATGACCTAGACTGGAAAATAGGCTACTTTTTTAAGAATTGCCACCTGTTTGAAAATGAAATTTTGCTCAAAGATTGTTTATGACCTAGATTGAAAAATAGGCAACTTCCTTAACCGGTTTTCCGATCAGAACGAAATTTAGTACACTTACTACGGATTTCGGAAAGATGGTCTTAGACTGAAAGTAAGTCCGATAACTCAAGGCCCCTCCCATACAAATTGGAATTTTCATATTACATACATATCTCTGGAAGTATTTGTGGGAGAGAGCTGAAACTTGGTATAGTGATATGTATGTGAAATCAATGATGGCATTAATCGATTGATGTTTTAATCAGTTAGTTAATTCGATTAAAATCAAACTGATTACAATTAATCATGATTAATTTTAATCTGACTAAACAGTTAACCGTAACCGCGATTAAAAAATTAATTTTTTTCTTAATTTGATTTGGTGATTAATTAAGTTATGCTGGAATTTCCGTGTGCACACAAAGCAAGTTAATCCGGTATGGCTAAGTCGGGTTTCCTCATCAATCTAAGCAATTTGGTGTGCATTTTCATTAAGATATATACCAGCAAACGTTTTACAAAGTAGGTTTGTAAAAGTTCCCAGT